ATCACATTTAAAAGGATTTTATGTAAGTTTCATATTTTATTTTAATATTATTACGATAATACGATGAGATATATATTACATATCTCGCAAAGTGTGTTTACGTGATGACGTACATCTTGAGCAGTCGTTCCCTAATTACATCGACTTTCACACTCTAGATGGAGTCAGACATAAATAATTTCTCGTATACAAAAATACACACAATTGGTTATAATAGAAGAGAAATGAAATGTATGTATATATTTTATAGTTTTTATACTCTTCTCTTATAATTTATACTCGTTTATATGCATACTCTTCGTTAACACTTTTAATCTATTTTTTGAAAAGTGGGCTTTTTGGAAAGTTTGGAAACTTGTAATTAGTCCCACGAATAAATTGAAACAAACATAAATTGTCATCGGATACTAAAACGTGATTGAGCTAGTAAACTTGAGTTTTTTATTTTATAAAACAGTATAACATAGAAAAGAGTCGGAGAGTTTAATGATGTCTGGTTTTTTACGATAATATTTCTTCCGCAGATACATTTTTCTTCCGCACATAACGGATTTTTCATTATTTCTCGTATAAAAATATTGAATTACAGTTATTTAAAAGGGTTTTCTTTCAGTTTTATATTTTATTTTTAAGAGACACGGTAGTATTTCGCGCCAAGTACATACACGCGCACGCGAGACTGCCGTGACTCTTTTACGCGTAATATATCACGCGATTTAAGATATATTACTCATAACAGGGTTTCCCCCTTTACTTCCACTTTCGCGTATTCTCCTTGTATCCTTATGCACCATTATATACGTTATACGTGGTACATATATATCGATGCTTATTTATAATAGTTATGTGATGGGGCGAAGTCTAACGCACGCGCGCGCGTACAGGATTGGTGATTTCTTGCCAGGATGACACCATCATGCGCGATTAATCGTGCATAAAAAAAACGTTTAATTTTGTTTAGCACTAATCGGTGACATCTCAATAAAGACTGCGGGCGTCATTTCTATTCGCTAATAATAAGCATAACAATTGATAAATCTGTGGAATAGATCGTAGCAGCAAATGATTACTTGACATGAATCATCAATTCTGCTTTCTTGCATGAGTACTTACAACGAATAATTGCACATAAATTGGCGATTTTAATTAAATATATTAAAACTTGATGATCTTTTCAGCATTCTATATAGTACGTGATACATACTGTGGAGTAAATAATGTTTCGATGATTCTTTTTACTTCTCAATATTTGTAGTCGTGGAACAATCGTATATATCCTTTTATATTTATCCATATCATTCACGACATTTATTTTCGGTGCGACTTCATGCCTATACAATGAGAAATTGGAAAATCTAATACATATTATATTTAAATAACCCACGATTTTGTAAAAAAAAAATATCTGGGTAATAGCCTCTTTTAGCTTAAATTGTGTTTCCTGCACAGCTACAGCGATTTCTTTTTGTTTCTGCTTGAGCAGTAGCTCAAAATAAAACAAGCTATCGCGCTGATTAATCACGTGATGATGTTGCTCGAATTTTTTTCGATAGTCACAATAGACATCGAATGATTGCTCGACAAGCAAAGCGCGTTTCTCATCGTTTAAAGAATCATACGCGATTCGTAAACGGCTCTATCTTGCTTACTCACTTTGTGATTTTTGCTTTAATTACCGGTAATTCGCGCTTGTAAATACGCTGGATATCACACTTAAAGTCACTAAAGTCACATTTAAAAGGATTTTATGTAAGTTTCATATTTTATTTTAATATTACGATAAGATATATTACATATCCCGTAGTGTGTTTACGTGATGGTGTATGTACATATTCAACAGTCGTATTTCTCTAATTACATCAACTTTTACACTCTAGATGGAGTTAGACATAAATAATTTCTCATATACAAAAATACACATAATTGGTTATAATAGATAGAAGATAAATGAAATGTATGTACATTTTTTAGTGGGTACCTATTATATTTTTTGGAAAGTGGGGTTCGTGAGTAGTCCCACTAATAAATTAAAACAAACATAAATTGTCATCAGAACGTGACTAAGCTAGTCAAAGAGATATAAGAATAGAGTGCGCAAGCGAGCTGAAAAAGCGATATAGGAATAGAAAGAGAAAGCTGTCTTTTCGCGATAGGAATAGAAAGAAAAACCTGCGGTATGGGCCTCTTCTGTCTTTGTTTGACTACAGCGTTCTTTTTCTATTTCTATATCGCAGCCTCTTACGTCCTAGCATATGACTCACGCACTCTAGTCTTAAGTATATCTCTATGGAGCTAGTGGACTTGGGTTATTCATTTTCCGATAAAACAGTATAACAGAGAAAAAAACATATGAGAATGATGTTTGATTTTTTATGATGTTACTTTTTCCGCAGATACGTTTGTAAAGTGCAATTATATTTACTTTTTTTAATTTTTAAACAGAACCGTATATGATTTTTTGATAAAAACAGATTTTTTTCATTATTTATCGTATAAAAATATTGAATTAAAGTCACATTTAAAAGGATTTTATGTAAGTTTTATATTTTATTTTAATATTACGATAATACGATGAGATATATATTACATATCTCGCAAAGTGTGTTTGATGACGTACATGTTGAGCAGTCGTTCCCTAATTACATCGACTTTCACACTCTAGATGAAGTCAGACATAAATAATTTCTCGTATACAAAAATACACACAATTGGTTATAATAAAAGATAAATGAAATGTATGTATATATTTTATATTAATATGCTACCTGTTATTTTTTGGAAGTGTGGGGTTTGCATGTTTGCCCCACCAATAAATTGAAACAAACATAAATTGTCATTAGACAAAGATAACTAGTGAACTTGAGTTCTTTTTTTTTTTATCATTCAGTAACACTTTGTAACACTTATATGGATGGATACTTTTCCGTTCTCAATAATCGTACTTATTTGATTATAAACTTTTACACTGTAGATGTTTTTAAATCTAAATAAAAAAAAAATAATTTCTAAATAATATAATTAAGCACAATTAGTTATAATCAACAGGAACAGAAATAAATGCATCTAGCACAAAGTGACACCTTAAATTTTTTATTTCTTGTAAAGTTTGTCGCATTAATATACTGAAATGAATATAAATTATAATTGTTAGTAATTATTATTAGCCGTAACACACAGAGCGTAAAGTTAAATCTATATATCATATCTGATTGGTATGAACACTACATATCAAACATTGCAACTTCCGTACTTTAATTTATACAAACTGCTCTATGCCAAATTTGCTACATATCTTTAATATCTAATTATAAGTAAATTACAATTACGATTTTACCGTAATCTAAATGCCATTGCATAATATGAAGAGACAGTTATCTATAGAAATCTTTGCATAGATTTTTTTTATGTAATCTTTTAATTTTAGCATTAAATATTTTGTTTCAAATTAAATATTTCTATTATAAATAAAATTCTTTTAAAATTGTTTTATTTTTTATATTACTATAGACACACAAACGTGCGCTACGCGCGCGCTATTTAGCTTCAATATTATACTGTTACTGCGACATTAATATTAACCTTTTGATACACACAACTGTCAACATAGACGATGACAACCACTCACGAAGTAAGCGCAGCAAGAGAACCAATCAGCATCACGGAAAAACGACAACAATAAACTTCGATAGATTCGAGTTTAATATACATGCCTTTTTAGAAATGAAAATGAGATGAGTTGGGATGAGATGAGATGAGATAAGATGAGATGAGATGAGAAATGAATTACGTAAACTATGGATAAATACATAAAATCTTGTATTCTTTTTTCAAGAATATATTTAAAAATGTAGTATGTATTTTTACTTTTTATTGGTTGTTTATTTTTCTTGAAATATGTAACATATGCATAATTGGAAACCTGTTTTTGTTATACATAAAAAGTATAAAAACCCGTCAATAAGACAAAGATCCTGCGTGCAGTATGAGCGTTTCTAAAGGACGTGAAGGAAGGTGAAGGGCCAATTATCCATAATTTCGTGTCTCGCGTAATTGGAGGAGGAGAAGGAGGCGGCAAGGGTCTCGAGCGTAGCCGCGTCCACCAGTCCACCTATGATTCTCACTCCGCCGTCTCATCGGCGATCTCACGCTCCGGTCACGGGGGATTAATTCAATTTCGGTCTAGCTGTCAAGGATTCCTGAGATAAAACTGTGTTACACGTTCCTAAATCCAGACGGGTTCTCGTTAAAACTTCGCAACTAGCGGATCGCGATTGTGATTACGGATAGCGGCACGTGGCGAGATTTCACAATGTAACAATGAATTTTAACTGTCGGTCGATTTCTTGCGTAACAAGGAAAATAGAATTGAAGGGGACCTTAGATTTAAAATCGAAGTCGTAAATTATTTTCACATCTTGAACTGATGAGTATTGGAAAACTGTTTAGTACAGATATCTCTTTCTATAACACAAAAACATGTTATAAGGATATGTTCAGAACTTTTATAAAAGAAACTATTTCGGACATTTGGAAGAGAATAATTAAAACAATATTCTTTTTTGGCTTTGCATTTCACGTTTTCCAGCACAGTAATATGCATACAATATAATGCGATTTAACTAGTGGATGATACTTATCGATATCAAAATCGAATTTTCAACTATTTATATATTTAGATTTATTTCTATTCTAATTAATATAAATTATCCATATTATATGTGTTATGTTAATTGTTATTATCTATTTATATTAATTATTATTCTAATATAAATAATCAGTAAATAATAACAATACATTTTATCTTACTTTTTATTTAACAAGTTTGTCTATATACTGTTCGTAATAATTGCTCGTTGAAGATGAAAACTTAAACTCTGACTAAATTCTGTCGGAAAATATTTATTCAAACCGTTTTCTCTAATAAAGAAAAGAAGAATTAAATTTTACATGTATTTGTGAGATACGCATAATTAAATCATGTCCGCATTTTTGCATTTCAGCACGCCAGCATATGATTACGCACCGAATCCCGACAAACAATGGATACTCCAAGTTACGCAGAAGATGCAGCCCATTCACAAACAGTTCACAGATCTCTTAATGACAAAGCGACTGCAAACCTTGCAAAGTGTCGATGCTGCTGTAGATAGGGTACGCATTTATGTAGATAAAGTACACTCAACACTTGCGTATAATTATTTCGAAAGTTTGAAATCTAAAAGGAAATCTAGCTATAGTCATTTCATCTCCGGAGAATTATCTTTAACGAAAGTCCTAGACTTTAATACAACTATACGATACATTTATCTTATGACAGATTTATCAAGAATTGAAGGATCTGGGTGAACTGGATAATACGTATATTATTTATACGTCCGATCACGGATATCACTTGGGGCAGTTCGGACTTATAAAAGGCAAGAGCTTCCCATTCGAGTTCGACGTACGGGTGCCATTCCTTATTAGAGGTCCTGGTATCGAGCCTGGATCCATGTAAGTCGCAATTACATATTTAAGTTTAGGTATTCATTGTTATGGGAATTTGATTAGAAATTAATAAAATTTTGATTTTTTTAAATTTCGGTAAAAAAAATTTCCGAACCGCAGAGAGTCCGAATTATGAGAATTATGCTCGTGGATATACATGTGGAAACTAAACTGCGAGAAAGCAGATGTCTAAAAGAGCGAATAGCATTTTTACAAAATTGAATTGATCTTCCCGAAAATGCTGCATCCTTATAGAAAAAATCTTCAAGAATAGGAAGGAATTGTAAAGTATTAATTAAATTTTTGAATTAATCTTGTGTAGATCATAATTATATTAATTGTAAACTAATATAGAAGAAACGTAGAAAGAGAACATATTTTCTCTTTCCAATTATGTTTCTATTTACATTATCAAATGAATTATTGTGAATTATTATCAAATCAGTCAAATGATTCATTTACATACACACTATCCTCATATAATTATAAGCTGGAATAGACTTAAATCCAACCAAGGAGTAAAATCGTTCCTTGTAATAACGCTATAAAATTTTTAACTGCCTTACCGTCTGTCTAATATCTCCGAAAGTAAGTAAACATCAATAAATGTCGGGAGATCATTAAACGTTTTTTACGTCAAGTAGTTGAGACGCACTGAAAGTACAGCCATATGGCTATACGAGGTTTATTGGACGTATGAAGTTGCGGCGAGATCATTATAATGGCTGTTACCCGCGAAAACTTTTGTACGTTGGATTTCGTTCGCGGAAACTCGTTTAAGAACAAATAAACGTCGGGAAGTGTAAGGCCCGGTATTGAGTCGTAATAGGTATGCAATAATAAAACATTCGCATAACGTTGCAGAGTAGACGACATAGTTTTGAACATCGATCTGGCGCCGACGTTCCTGGATATCGCCGGCGTCGAAACGCCACCACAGATGGATGGTCGTTCCTTCAAGAAACTCTTTCTCAAGTGAGTACGTCGGCGGTTTTTCTTATGAGATCGTGCACTTAAATTTTTAAGCTCGTCGTGTCATTGCACTTTAATAGCATCTCCAATACACGAAAATCAAATGCACATAAAGATATGTAACATATGTTAATATTAATATTAATTAACATATGTTAATAAAGAATGAAAGTTTGTTTATACTTTAAATATTTGTTCTCATTTTTTGGTTAATATTACGCGGAATGTATCATTACAAAAATCTCATAAAATTCGAGAAATCGTTTACCTATATTTACTTATATTGATCAAGTTTGTAAACTTGGCAGCTATCTAGTAAAATGGATTGTATTTTCCTTAAAATGTTCTTAATGAAATTTTATTTTAGCCGAGACTTTTAGCATAACTTTATTTAGAAAATTCAATTATCTTATTTTTTTTCTCGCCGCTGATATACATATAACTGCTTGAATGTTGGTACATTGACCTCCGGAGCTTGATCATTTATTACGACGCGTTATGTCACACGCGCGATTCCCACGATGAATTCTCAATGTATAATAATAATTTCCAATTGAGTGTTAGAGCTTAATGTTCCAACTTTAATGCAGGTCACGTAATCGGATTTCAGTGTCCATACCGAGCTGAAATTCCTGTTTTATAACTTCATTAATTTGTCAGAACTTTCTGACTCTGTTAGACGAAGTTACGTTGTTAAAACGCCCTTTTTGCAGCGTGACTTTTTGCAGGCTTTACCTTGTAGCGAGTTAAAATCTCCGTCATGTAGCTCCATTAAATTATTATAACAGTAATAATCCCTCTCTATCGCGAAGTGCAATATTTTTTTTTCTCAAAGTAAGCCTCCCGCGTCGTATCGATCTCGCTTGCGAGTAAAGCTCGTCGTTACAGTAGCAAGCACGGCAGAAGGTCGAAGTTCAAGTGGCCCGACACATTCCTGATCGAGTCCTCCGGCCGCCGTGAGACTCCGGAATCCATCGCTGAGTCGAAGGCGCGGGAAGCCAGGAGGCAAAATGCCACCCAGGCCAAACGGCCATCGAGCTCGGCGCCGGAAGAGGAAGACGATGATATCGCCGATCCAGAGGACACCGAAACGGAACATCGGTTTACGGAGAACGACACCGGAAGCGATCAGGATATCTCGGACGACGAGGATTTCGAGGACTCGATGATCGATGAAACGAGTGAGTCATCCGCTTTAGAGATTCGGATTTATTCGACTATCGATCGCGACGAGATCATCTCACATTTTAATTATCGTCGACAGTTTTTTGGAAATATTCTTTACGCGTAATTACTTTCATAAAACACTTTGGTGTAATACGAAAATTAGATGTATTCTAATCGAATAAATGACCGAGGCTCTGACGCTAATGTACAGATGGATAATCAAGTGGATAATTAATTGATGGGGCTTTATTACATTTGTCGGATTATTGAAATTTGCGAGCCGATTATGTATAAATTTATTATATTGCAAATCATACTCAATATTAAATTTAGTTAATGGAAGCCGAGCGTAAATTATCGCCAATTAATCACTTTATTCTCTCTTTTCTCTTTTACTGCCAGAAAAATTAAATTAAAAAGTGAAACTGTATACGTTATAAAATGACTGATTTAATCCGCTCACAAATATGCATGTACAGGAAGCGTCGAGACAGGGTCTCGCGACATTGATCTCACGAGAATCCGGATAGATAGATCCGTTGGTTCGACGACAAGAGCAGATGCTCCGGGCTCTCCTCTCATGCAGCAGCGTTACATTATAAAACCTACCGTTACGCCAGATGCTGTGCGTCGCGTATTACGCGTACACGCGCGGAGGAACGAGTTCTTTCCCTGGTATGCATTAGCATAAATACCCGGTCCTCGGGATCGAGACGGGGCGCGCATCCCTCCTCCCTTTATCCTCCTCTCGAGATTATCGGGAGAGCGCTTTGTCGCGAGGGTATTTTCGGCGATAAACGTATGTAAGAGCATTATACATATACGATGTATTGATGACGAATTTGGAATTTAAGAATTAGGACGCGGTTTCTTCTTCTTCTTTTTTTTAAGAAGTTTTATGCAAGGAAACACGCAATGTTCGAGTTCTAAGTCCGCTTGATCCCGACGGTTTATTTTTTTCCTTCGCGATAGAATCCGCAGTAACATTATCGACTAATTCCTCCTCGTCGTCGCGAACATCAAGTTTCGAGGACGCTGGATTCCATGCTTCTGCGTCATGTTATATTTAACTTTGCCGATGGTTGTTTGCATATATAAAGTCGTCATGTCAATCTCTCTGTAGTTCCGTTTTCCAAGTACCATAATAAACCACTCCGTTTTCATTAGAGACTAGATTTCATCTTGTGACCATTTTGATTTTCTCGCTGAAGCGAGTCACAAATATTAATATGAATATTAACAAAGCCGCGTAATATTGAAACGGAAACTTCAAGAAATTCTTTCAAAAAGATTGCGTCGAGATCTCTGAAAGCATATCGAGAAATAATCTAATTAACAAAGTTAATCTGGAATGGATTTCTCATCGCCGCATGATCATGCATTCGTGTTCCAGGCATAGATCCGCATCTCGACAATAGGGTGCATCCGATGCACGCACCCTACGCGACGAAGCACGAGCGTCTCACGGCGGAGTGCTCGCGACCGGAAGCGCAGACCGATTGTCTCCCTGGGCAGAAGTGGAGATGCGAGAAGGACGGGCACCGCTGGCGACGGCACAAGTGCAGGTACGCGGCACCCCCGCTGCCACAGAGGGTGTCCAAGAAGTGTGCTTGTTTCACCCCTAACGGCGTGATCTACACGAGGCTCGAGTCCAACGATTACGACGGGCAGAGATATGGTTTCACGAGGGATCGTCGGCCTGTGGATCCTTACGACGATACTGCGGGATACTTCACCAAACGAGGTGAGTGTCACCAGCGTTATTACTCTTCCTTTCTGTATTTTTATGTAATCTAATATATGATCTATTTTGCATTTTATATAATCTAAAAAAAAGAAATAGAAATCTCAATAGTAAAGCTACTCCCTGATAAATTTGAGGTCGGCTTTAGCATCCTAAGTATCGCTAAAATTAATGAGATAATTATTACGAAATAAGGTAAATTTGAATTGAATAAATTAAACGAAAATAATTTGATCTAGGCAAGCGAGAAGTATCGAGTGATATCATATCCAAGGAAAATAATAAGGAATCTGATAATGACATTGACTTGGATGACAGAGACAGACGTGCGATTGACGAGGAAGACGACGATGACACGTTGCAGGAGTTAGATATGCCGGCGCAGGAGGTGAACGGGGAATATAGGAAAGATCTTGAAGGGTACGAAAATTATAATTAAATATCACGAAGTTCGGAGGAACTTCTTATCATGGTCTATCGATGATGTATATTTCAGGAACGGCAGTAAGACGAGAGTTGAAGACACTGATGACGATAAAACTAACGAACTAAACAAATACATTGTCGACTACTTGGATTACGGCTATTCGATAAACGACTTTGATCCCACTTTAGACAAGGTTGTTAAAGGTCGATTAAATGTGAACGACGTAATAAAAAGGCATAGGAGGGTACGGAGAAGTGTCACGAAGAAGGATACTATAGAGCATGTCACGAAGATTATGGAAAGTATAGAGGAAGAACTAGATGATTTAAAGGTAACGTTTAAAACGACGATTTCACACTAATGTCATTTTACATATGTCACCGAATAATAAGAATCATTTTATCATTTTAGCAAACTCAAGTTCGTCATTTGTCGTCCGAAGTAGGAAAGTCACTATCGCCAAAATGTTTGGTTTCACCGGAAGGAGGTGTAAATTGTACACAAGCTATATATCGAGATCCTAATGAGTGGCGAATATCTAGACGGGAGATCGAGCAGCAAATCCGAGAGATGCGAATGCAATTGGAAACGTTGAAAGTAAATTGTATAAATATATATTAATACGTTATATATATTAATACAATACATATAATGTACATATAGCTTTTTAATACAAATTGGTAATATAACGTTGATGTGTTTGCAGGAGATTCGCCGGCATTTAATGATCAAACGGCCACAATTTCTGGATAACGAGGAGAAACTTGCTGACGCAGAGGAAACTCACAGTTCGCACAAAACTCACCATCATCCTCCAAAGGGGCACGCGAGCCGCCATCATAAAAAGCACGATAAAGTTACTCATACTACTGCAGATATTATCGTGAACACGACCACGGAGTCTGTTACGAAGATTAATACAACTCCGGAGGATGAAAAAGGGTCGACGACGGAAGAAAAACCTGATAAATACGGTACAACTCCTATCGAAACTTTTACCACGGAAACTGTCAGCGAAACGTCAGCAACAACGGTTCTAACAACAGTTAAGCCAAAGAAATCGCCTCGCCGTCAGAAAACTAAGGAAATACCTACAAACAGAACGGAAATTGAAGAAGATAAGCCGCAGAGACGTCGGAAAACGCATCATCACCGTAGAAACAATACGCTACTTACGAATAGCGTACACGACGATGTTCCGCGCGTGAATACAACATACGTTACCAGCGATGTGACATTGTCTACGCAAAATCCTACGACTCGCGAGAGGCACAATTATAGTCACAAATTTACGACTGTTCCTGCTACCACAGAAGCAAGCAGTACGAGACAAGAAACCCAGTATTCCGGAGTTTCCAGGAGTAATAACGACTTCAACGAAGATCGTACTACGGAATCGATCGCAGTTACTGAATCCGGAACGACTGTAACAATGACTTCGACACACATGACAGAAGTGCCAAGAACCAATCCGCCTATCGATAAAAGTTTCGATCAACCTAGGAATTCATCTGTCACGACAACTGTGCCGTCAGTGAAGAGATATCCTAAAGTACAAAAGAACAGGACATCGGGTATCCTTGGACCAGCGAGGATCGACGTTACCATTCTTGAATCTCCTGATAGAAAACACAAGCAAGGTTATTGTTATACATTTTAATTAGTCTCCGTTTATATCTTTAAAGAGTATTTTTTTATCATATAACCGTATTTACCGGTTTTAATAACCGTAATAACCGTTTTTACCGTAGGTATAACTACAACAAGTAACAACGGACGTCTGCCGCCGATGCTAAACACGCCGTTAGAAGCGCGACATAAATGTTATTGTGAACCGGATACAAAGAAAGATGAGAAGGAGATTGCTAAGGAGGAAAGACGAAGATTGAAGGAGGAGCGTTTAAAGAAGAAGGAGAAAAAGCTCAGAAAGAAAGCCAAGCTGGAAAAGGAGTGCCTGACGGAAAAAATGAACTGCTTCGAGCACGATAACGATCACTGGCGTACCGCACCTCTGTGGAATGCCGGACCATTTTGCTTTTGCATGAATGCTAATAATAACACGTATTCATGCATACGTACAATTAACAAGACGCACGATTTCCTTTACTGCGAATTTACCACGGGATTAGTGACATATTACAATTTAAGACTTGGTGTGTATGAAAGAAATCTTAAGGAATAAAATCTCACGAGCGAATAATTGATATTACTTTAATTTTTTTTTGTCAGATCCATTTGAACAATGGAATAGAGCGTCATCTTTGACATCCTCTGAAAGATCATATCTGCATGATCAATTGGAACACTTGAAGGGATGTAAAGGTACATGGGATTGTACAGTCGGTAATGCTAGAGAGGCTATGCCACAACTGCAGCAACATCAACGATATATTTCGAAAAGAAAAAACAGTGTTGCATTCGGTACGTTTCGTAAAAAATTTAGTTACATATTAAACACTAATCCTATAAATTGTTTTAGCAGAAGAGATGTTTGTACCCTCAGCGTTACAAATTATACGCGAAAGCGAACTTGGCAGTCCACCTAATAAAAGACGAAAGAAGTTACAGAAGTAAGTATAGAAATATTTCTCTAAACATTTAAAATAATTTAATTAAATGTGAATTTAATATCAATAATATCATTTTTGTTTCAGTTGGAATAGGCGCAATAGAAGCTGGCAAAGCAACTGGCGACATCACCAAGATTCAATAAATCCCCGGCGTCATAGTTCTAGACATCAATACTGATTTATCTTTTTTTACACTTCAACAATTGCGTGACAAATTGCCTTAGGTATATATTGATTTCGCAATGCATTTAGTAACCTAATTTATTTAGTATCTAATGAATAACGAAGAAACCGAGCTTATATTAACTGATATTTAACTATAGGTATACATATTTTTCGCATACCTCGAAGCCACACTGGGATTCAGATTCAGATTTTGAAAGAGCACATTTCAATGTACAAAAAAAATTTGTCGATAATATTGGAATATTATCATGAAAATTACAAGGTTCCAAAAATGACGAATATTTCTATCTTCTGGCGGGTTTGCAGACAGGTATAAAAGTTAGGATTTTTGTTAGAAAATAAAAATTCATGAATTAAAAAATATAATGACTTGCAAAAAAAGTACGAAACACACACTGAGGTCTGAAAGATTCCTGACTTATTTTACGTGTTAATTATTGCAAAACTGACAAACTATTGATTACTTCGGCAATTACTAGCTATTGAAGAGAAATTCAAACTTCATCTGGGATCTCGGAAAACCCAGAGTGTATACCTAGGGTTAAATTAATAACTCGATTTTATTAGATCTTTATCATCCACATTGTGCATGTTTTCAATACATTTTATGGCAACTGTCGGATTTATCTGTAGGAATATTATATGCACTGTGTGGAGCACATTTATAAATATACAAAACATGTAATTTTTATATAATTTATATGAATTTTATATAATTAGGACTATGAATAATTAAAGACGTAGTTAGGTGATTTTGTTCTATTTTATAAATGTTTTTTATGATAATTTATTTGTTTTTTGAAGCAAATATTTAGTGAGAAAAATAATTATACGCGCGAATAATTTCTAATAATGTCTAATAATAGCTTGTGATTTTTAAAATATGCGTTATAACTAATTGCATTTGCTTAAAAATTAATAAATTAAACTGTAAATTTGACAATATACATATTACTTTCCTCACTGTTAACATGTCGATAATAACCAATGTCAATATACATTTTTGCTGAAAATTTCTTACTGCGAGAAGTATTTATCAGCATACTATTACTGAAATCAGCTGTGTAATAGAAGACTGAACGCACAACGAAAAGAATAATAACTTTATCTTCCCTTGCCAATTGCAATCTTTCTGCATTGTATTATTTGGGTAACAATCAGAAACGTTTATCAAACGCTGCCATTTTTTTTAGCTCTCCTGTTAACTTTCTATGACAAAATGTACACATGTTCTTACGTAATGCACTGCCAAAACATTTATAAGCATCGATATTCTTTCTACATCTTGATATTGATTCCAAAGCAAGAAAATGATCTGAGCTTTAGTTGAATTTTTAAAATTGTTTATAAGCTATAAATATTACTGTAATTACAACACTTCTATTTAGGACTTTATAACTCTTTTAATCTAACGATAAATATTAGATTTGTCACCATATTGTTTTAACACAGCTGTTTTAGTGTAGCAAAATAATTATTGGTATAATACATATTAAGGAAAAATAGAATGCTGGCATATATTAATATAATATATAGAACTAGTAAGAAATAAAGATAAACATGAAATATTCATACATATTTTAACATATACTGTCTTCATATATATTGCTACATAATTGTTTTTTAATTATCTACATTTTTATGACATATTGCATGAATCCCTTTGATACAGTTTATGAATTTAGATTACCTTAGATTAGAATTTAAGAATTTATGTATCAACAGTGTGTGTTAATCTTACAACTAGCATTCTATCTTTCCTAAAGAACTCTGCATTATATAATGAACTGTTATTCATTTATTTTTCTCAGAAAAGAAATGTAACAAAAGGAAACAATGTATTTAAGTCTAGAATTTAGAAGAAAAACATTTTATCTCTGCGGTATTACTCTCTTTATATAGAAAATATTAAATTAAAAATATTTAGTTACTACACAAAAACACACACAAACACACACATGTATATGTATATAGATAATGAGAAGTAGGTAAATAATTTATGCATTTAATTGAAATTGTAGGATATTGAAATTTATGGACAAAACAATTTGACATATATTTTCTTGAATTTTTTATGTATTAAATTCTGTAATAAAAAAATGTTACTTTTCAGGAAAATGATTAATTTATATTTAAATTAAATAGTATAGTTCCTGCATTACTATTTTGTTAATTTACACAAGAATAGCATATCGATCATTTAAGAAAATTAAATAAGAGGATCATCTAAATCACCGTAAGTTTCAAAAATATTAGCGGCATCATTATAATCCCTGCTTGATTTACCGCTATCTTGCAAATTGCATTTATCTTCGATGTTAGAATTATAATTAAACTCTATAGAACCTGGATTCTCTGTCTTATTAGCAATATCTTCACTTTCAAAATTACAATCATCTAAAGTGTTTTCGAACTTACGTAAATCATTGTTTACAGCATTACATGGAGATTTCTCATTTGTTATCGTATCTTCAACTTCACGGATATTATCAAAAGATGAATCTTCTGTATCAGACGGATTTTCTTTCTTCGGTGAATCTCGATATTTTGCCGATTTATTTTCAGTAGGTTTATCAATGTCAAATTCTTGAGCAATATTTGTAGCGTTACAACTATCATTGCTGTTTTCTTTCTCAGGATGTAAGGAAAATGATGTGTTATTTGCCTTTAAATAATTCAAGTGCTGGACGCGAAGGCGACAATCTTTGCCAGATCCTTGAAAATATATCTAGAAATAAAAACAACATAATTATAATTCTTAAATACTTTATTTAGTATTTCAGATGTAGGGGTACTTTGTACATCTTATTATAATTCTTAAATACTTTATTTAATTTAAAGTATTTAAGAATTATAATAAGTTGTTTTATTTGGCATCGTTAATAAATTTTGAAATATGTACCTGCCGTACAGATTGCTTTGCATTACACAACTTGCACTGCCATTTGCGTGCTTTTTTCACTATATGTACCTATAAAAATGCAAAGGAAACGAATTACTAAAAGTTATAAGTTATAACGAACGTTACTGTTAACGATATTCACTTCAAACTAAAACTTACTTGATACATTTTGCAAGAATAACAACACAAAACATTCATTTCTTGTGGCATTGTTGAAATTAAGTATGACTGCCACTCAGGAAATGATACAATGTAATATGAAATAATAAATGCGGAACGGGATACACGAATATACCTAAAAAAACAAATATCAATTTCTAATTTATTTATTTCTTTAAATATTATTTTATAAATTGTACATTATATTAATAACGTTATATGTATATACACGTTAACAAAATTAATAATTAAAAATTCTGGACATTTACTGTGCATAGGTCCTATCGATGTTCCATATAATTTATTCCAATTCTATTGTACAATTTGGCAGAGCTTCTGCAAGCTCTTTCCTAAGTGAAGCTTTATGCTCTAGATATGGTATACCAGTGAGCTTCAGAGTCTTCAGATTTCTATAAAATATAGAAAAAAGAATTCAATATTCAAATTGTATTTCCTTTTAATTTAACAAACATTGAAAATAGTATTCTTTAATACATTTAACAAAATAATATAATAATATAAAACGCTTACTTGAGATTTTTCAAACTGCGCACTCCTTCATCAGTTATACTCTTACAATCTTTGATTTCAAGAGTAGTTAGGGAATCCTTCACTGCTGATAATAATGGCAAGGCGGTGTTATACAAGTAATAACAACGTATGAGTTTTATCTCGTCAATATACCTGCAACCAACTGCATTTTTATTAGTACCAATATTATCCATTATAAATATATCTAAAGACACAATGATGAATAAGAATTTATTTGTAATATACAATAAAAATTCTTTTTTAACCAAAAACAGTTTGCAATTATCACGATTACAATATTAATCACAATATAAGTACATTTAATACTTTTGATGGCTCTATCCAATAAAAATTCTAGATTAATATTTAGTTTTAAACTATATCAAGTATTTAGTAACTGTTGTTATCAAAGATTCTCCGTTACAATATCTCAATTGCCAAATAATGTTATAATTTATTATATTATGTATACACACACACACACACACACACACACACACACACACGTGTGTACACGTTTAATATGATACTAACCAAAATATGGAAATCCTACATGAGTTATTCCAGAATCTGTAGCATCTACCGCTTGAATGTAACATCGATTTTCTTCTGATAGCAATTTATTGTAATCTTTCAAATGTTCCGAAAAACCTTTCCATCTAACACTGGCACCGTTCTTCAAGAGCCACTCAGCACAAGCACGGTCTGGGCCGACAGACTGAATTCTATCGTAGTCGACCCTGAAAATAAATTATCAATTATCACTTTAAAAGTTACGTGTCAGCAAGTAATATCGCAGTCAATATAACGATAAGTTTTGCCAGATACCTGTTAAATATTATGGTTAACCAATAAAAGAATTCTCTGTTGGGCACTTTTCGGTAACAACTTGTGGTGGCATTTAATATCCGCAGTCCGTTTGATATCTGTAACACATAATATTCACGATATAACATACATTCAGCGAATAAACCTTTGCATTCTGTACACCGTCAAATTATCTCGTACTCGTACAGAAAACAAAAACACGATTCGAGTTAAGCATTTTTCGACACGTTCAAGAAATGATATAACAAACGGTAGTTAATTATTGTTAATAACAAAACAAAATGTAAATAATACATCTTACATGTGGCATCATTGTCCAATCAGCTGTGCGCGCCCGAAACACAGAATTTAATTACTTACCTGTTTTACGAACACGAACTCGGACGTTATTTATAACCGCTCACTGCCCAATAGTGCCAGTGCGCAAGTCCGTTGAAAGGTGGCTTTAGGATCTAGGATCTCTCCTTTGTAGCTGCACTATGTCATACTTTTTGCACTTAAAATGATATTCGTATTCTCCTTGCGTGCAATTAGATGCAAGGAGAGAAAGAGAAAAGACGAAGAGTACAAAAAGTTCAGGTATAAGTCACTATAAGTATCTCATGCGTTTTGAAATGAGGGACCACACACGTGTTTTAAATTGAAAAACGAAAGAACGCGTAGACGGATTTTACTGAAAAAAATTAAAAACAAAATATTCATGTATTATTTAATACAGAATATGTATATTACTTAAAATTAAGAATACAATTTATATAGAATTTTTTATTAAACTTTTATTAATTTTGAAGCTCATTCTATGTACATTAGATACATATATGTATATAATAAAATAATTGCCGCTGTCAAAATTAATCAAAATACTTTTACGCTATTCGCAATTCGCAGATGCTAATTTTCTTAAATCTCCTTCAGAGAAACGATAACAGTGCCCCTGGTACTTGACTGTCGCATCAACGGCTCCAAGTCTCTTGTAAAACTCTTGCGCTGGGTTCCAGTTGAGAACCACAAAGTCCAATTTGTGACAGCCGTTCTCAACTGCTTCCTGCAAAATATTTCATAATCAGGCGCATATCACATCACCGTAATCCGTAATCCTAATTAAACGTTATACCTTCGCGACTGATTTGAGAAGCATGCTGCCGACATGTTTCCCTCGAAAATCCGGCGTCACGTAGATATCGTCCAGATACATGGACTTTCCACACCATGTGGAATAAGTGTAATAAAAGAGAGTATATCCAACTATCTTATCATTAGATGTTGCCACGTTACACAAATATAATGGCTGCCCGTCGAAGCCATCTCTTTCTAAGGCTG